CGTTCTTATAATACATAAATAAATATTCACTAGTATTAACAAGAAAATAGAGTGAACTTAAAAACAGAGATGATGGTTCATTAGATAGAGCTTTTACCTTAAATTTTCACGTTACACAACATTTTCCAAATAATTTTTTTAAAAAATATAAAATTTCATTAATAAAACAACTTAATACTAATACTAATTACTATGTGATAAATAAAAATATTTCCAAAACTCGACTTACCAGATAGAGTAATTTTGTATAAAATAATTATGATTTTAGCAACTTCTGAAAAAGTAACGACGGTTAAACGGCATTTTGCTAGAAAGAGTCCCGCTGTGTTATATGTTCGCAGGTCAGTCTTCGGTAAGCCTAGACCCGAATAAGTTAACAGTTTAAAGAATAAACCAGCGCGGTTTGAAACTAAAGGCATGGTATTAGGCATATGGAAGTGCGAAGATAAAAATAAATAAACAGGAAGGAAACGACAATAACTTGAATATTCTTCATGTCGAAGGAAAAGAAAAACATTGACTCTCGTCTATAGGAGATACAGTAAGAGAAGACAACATGATCTTTCGCCGGACGACTTCTTCCTATTGAGAACACTCAAAAACCGTCTTTATGGACATATTAAATACAGAAATTTAGATGAACTAAAAACCACATCTCTGTGGGATCCTAAATATTCTCCCCTTAACAGCTTTGTATTGTGAGGCGAAAATTTTACTATCATTTGAGGTATTGTTTGGCTGTGAATGGGGGATTATGGAAACTTTTTATTAATTAGTATAGTTTAATAAAGTTACATTAGTTACAAATATTTCTTTTATTTGAAACTATTGTAGAATGTATGTCGTATAGTGGTAGCGAGGCTTGCGAGTGATCGAGTAATGAACAGCTCATACACCGTAACATTATTCTCAGTTCAACTAATTCTTTTGTAGATGGTTATTCCAATTCAAAAAAGAATTAACCACTCTTTCCAAACCACATAAATTCTTGTAAACAAAAAAAGCGACATCGAATTTGGCAATGACCAAATCATATTTTTCCTGGTATTTTAATGATAATGATCTCTGGGCCGTAATATAAAGATTTTTGCAAATATCTTTTAGATGATTATTCCAAATAATACGAAATATTAGACAAAAGCACAATTTAACGTCTATTCAAAGAAATCTAATATAATTTTTGCATAAAACCATCTGGGGCGATAATATTTGACTTTTTCAAAATTTACATGGGATTTCTTATGTCCCGTGTTCTGATGCACCACACGGTATTAATATTAATTATATTTAATAAAAAAAATATTAAAATGTTTCTTTTACAACACTCATTTATATAATATGATAAATAGTAGTCATAAATTATTATTTTTTTAATAAAAAAAACTTTGGCTATATAATTTTAGCATGGAAAAAATATATAACGACCTAACGTAATGTTAATAAAGGATTTAATTTAACACGACAAAAGTCCCCAAAGGCCAATCTATAAAAAATAATGTCATGCGATTTATTTTCGGGAAAAGAAACGAGAGAAAATACACTTGATGATTTATGTTCGACCGTTGGAAGCTTCTGGATAGGACGATCGCTTTTTGGCTTAATCGAATCGCGATATATTTTGTCCCCGATCGTCAGGATGAGTCCCGATGACACTGACAGGAAATGAGTTCGATCTGCAATAGTTCGGTGGATGTATTTATGGCAATTTTATCGTATATTTTTAGGAAGACAGGTACATTTGAATTCCACACATTAATTATTGATAAAAAATCATGGTGAAACACAAGGTTGCAATAAACATTTGAAAATGGGCGAAAGATTTAATGCAACATTATCGGTGTGAGAAACTATGAAGCTATAAAATGTTGTTTCGGGAGAGTTGAATATCCGGGAAAGTTGAGTTATTGAATGTTATTGCACCCAACAACGCCTTAATTACGCTCTCCTTTACGTGTTAACATTTTTTCGACAATTTTATTAACATTGGAAATAGTAACAACACAACACGACGCGACGCCTAATTCGAATTCTTTTTCACATATTTTTTACTACCCGAAACAGCATTACATCACACAAACCTCGTACCTGAGTGTTTTATAGTTTCAATAACTGCACTAGCAAAAAAACAAAATACTTAAATAATATGACAAAACCGCGATTTCAATATTATTTTAATGCGATCAACATGACGGCGCGGCGCCGGCGGCGTGAACTATACATATATTAATAATTTCAGATTTTTTCCGCTGAAGCGCTGCGGTCGGAATTTGTTGAAACCAACTGAAATGTTATTACTAAGCCGTTCCCTTTCCATCCAATATCTATTTCGTATAATTTGACTGTATTTACACCATAAAACGTAATCATAGAAACGGTACGGAAACGGAACGGATAATGCGCATTGTTCTATTCGTTTACATGACCTAATATTTTACGTAAACGGAAAGAAAACGGAAAGTAGCGGATACGAAACGTGAGAATACCTTTATAGTTTGTCCAACGACATAATCCTTGACAGTGATAGATGAAAGAAATAAGTTGATGCAAAGCGTAACTTTATAAAACTTACCACTAATTTTGTACTTTAAAAGTTGGTTAATTTGTTTAACCAGTACCTTTTAAAATTATCTTTCATAGTACTAAAGGTTATTATTATTTACCTATTGTGCGATGTCTTTATTTTACAGCCAATTTTTAGTACCATATACGAGATGGTATACAAACTTTATTGGTGGCTAATACAGTTTTCTGGGTCTGCACTTTTCCCTCTATTTTCGTCCACTTAACTTTAAACACCATGAAACACATGTGATGACACAAACCAAAATGCAAAAGCAAACATTTATTATATTTATTATTTTCTAGAAGGCTGGTTATTTGACATAATTTGACACAAATAATAATCTTTAATTTGACAAGAGTTTGACAAGTTTCAAAAATTTTAAGTCGAATTCATACGCATCTGCGTCCGTGCATTGTTCATCGTTCCGTCACTCCATTGAAACTTCATCATAGGATGAACTTTACTTCACCTATGATGACATTTCAATAAGATCATAGTGAGACATCACTTGTCATTGTTGAAATAAAACAATGAGAGTGTATATAAAAAATATATTGGGGAATTACTTCAGCATACTCAATAACAGAAAAGTAATTTTGACTTATCTACCGACAACCCTAAAGCTTTATTCAGAACCTCGCAATTAGTGGAATAAATTAGTGGTTTCAATTAGTGTAGAAGATTAATCCTCAAATTTCAATAAGCATTCAGAACGTCAAAATTAGTGGTAGTCGCTTTCAATTAGTAGAAAAGGTTAACAAACTTTAAACATTTCCACTAATTATACTTCAAAATTTGGGAGGAATGTCATTTTGGCATTTGATTATCATCATTGAAAAATAAAAGATATTAAATAAATTTATTTTTAACAATGAAACACAACAAATTAACAAAAATTGTGAACGATTAAACACAAGGTAATCAATTTATTTTACTGCCATTTAAATAAATTGTTAAGTTTGAATAATTTGAGAACGTGATATTAAAATTTTTAGACCTTGTTGATTATTTAAATGCCAACCTCACTTCTTTAATATTGACACTTCGAGACTGTCTTTTTGCTTGTCAATTTGCGTGTGCCAACGAAAATTTGGCTGCGAGAAGTTTACTTGTCGCACTCAAATCGACATTAAATTTGCTCAAAACTCGTGTGGTAATTGTGAAGTGGGCAATTAGCGTCTTTTCGACTCCATAAGAAAGCGAAAAGATACTACTTTCCCCGCATGAGTAATAAAAAGTATAAAGTATAATTGAAACTAATTTATTCCACTAACTGCGAATGAGTGAAACTTTATCATGACATAAGATTATGAAAATTTCGTCAAATAGAGGTGGTTAAAAGACAAAATTTCAAAAACAATGAGGAGAGTTGTTCAGGATTTTATTTCACGTCTATGTACAAATTTCATAAATATGCAGGGATAAATAGGCTTTAGACGTATGGAATAATTCAGTCCACAGTCTTTATTTTTAAACATTGAACGAAGTATGAAAATTTATGTCCATGCAATTATTGGAATAATAATAAATTCATATTTTTAAATATGAATATTAAAACTATTAATTTTATTATTTTCATAACTTCAGATTTTAAAGTTTTGCATTTTAAACCAAAAAAATCCTTCACAACTATTGCCATGTCACCATAGGGTTTCTATTTTCGTTCTATTCTATTCCTGGCGAGAACAATATATCTAAACACAAAACCTGTATCCAGCTGGAAAAGTAAGCATAAAAGAATAATTTATCAAAAGAGGGAGTTGGAAAAAATAAATAAAAGAGAAGATGTAGCCACCACAAACGTACATATTTCCGTGACTCCAACTGGAAGATAAATTTTTCAGGCTCAAAATTTTGGCGATTCTAAGGGGAAAAAAGAACCGTTATACGAAAATGTATCCTCGTATACCCTAAGATTGGATATGATATGGGTATCTAGAACAAAATTTATAGGAAGGCATAGAGATAACTGAACAATTTTAGTCGGAGGTTGAGTTTCGTAAAACATCACGGATCGAAAAAAACATCAATTCAAAGATGCATAAAAAATATACTTTTTTAAAAACGTCTATTGAAATTTCTAAAATTTCATTTATTTCTATAGTTTCATTTATTGGTTTTGCAATTTATTTTTATCGACACGGAGGGTATACCATGTATTTAAAATTATATGAGGAATGCCATCGTCATTATTTTTCAATTCAATGTTAGCCACTTATTTTGCTTTCCACATTCCGTGTCCAACTGTTTCAAATATGTATGTAAGGTTTTCTAAAGTTTATTAAAAAAAAATACTTAACTCTAAATTAAAAAATCGGCAAGTGTTGAAATATTAATATTAAAAGTTGTTCTAGGCATACTATTGCAAAATAAATAAAACCTTCACTTTCACAATCAACTAAAAGATATTTTAAAATAATTATGAAAAATAACTTACCTTACAATACTGAATTTCAAAAATCTGAAACAAAATAAGATATATTAAAATACATTATGAATAAATCAATACTTCAGCAGTTGTTAGGTATATAGGGTAAATTACAAGTAAAATATTTGTTTTATTTCATAATTACTTCTTCAGCACTATTCTTTTATAAAGGAGAACAAATAAATTATAGGGGAGTAAATGAAACCTACATTAATTATACATTATACTTCGCAGCCTCGTCTCAGATTATAAACACCCTGTAGTTGCAGCGCGACTATCCTATCTACGACGTTCAAAGAAAAATAACAATTTTTTGCTTCCCTGACTCAGCGTACCGGGCCACGTCGAGCCTCGCTGCTGATAGTTTATTCATTGTATCGTGTCGTATCCTATCGGAGAGTGCGTTCAAAATGCCTAAGCGTAAAAGTGATGAGTTTTTAAGGAAAACTTAATAAAAGCTTAAGGCGTACAACATGGTAAGTATATTATACTAATGCTTCCTTTTGTTTTAGAAAAGGCGATTTGAAAATCAGCTTTTTAATACAAATTTTAAACGCATGCTCTCTGTGTTTAAAATCAATTAATTTATTGATGTACCTGCCTTATTTTATGATGATTAGAAGTGACATGCAATAATAATATGTAGGCAAAGGTCAGAGGGCCGTAAATCTTAACAGCAGGAACAAAATAAAAACATCGTAGTGCAATAATAATAAGTATTATTTCCTCCCGAATACCAATCTTGGTTTTTTCGGTATGACCCTGAGATTAACACTGAAATACCTATTTCATGCTTATCTGAAAGAAGCAAAGGTCAGAGGGGCCGTAAATCTTTACAGTAGGAACAAAATAAAAACATCGTAGTGCAATAATAATAAGTATTATTTCCTCCCGAATACCAATCTTGGTTTTTTCGGTATGACCCTGAGATTAACGCTGAAATACCTATTTCATGCTTATCTCACAGAGGCAAGGGTCAGAGGAGCCGTAAATCTTTACGGCAGGAACGGAATAAAACATCGTAGTGCAATAATAGTAAGTATTATTTCCTTCCGAATACCAATCTTGGCTTTTTCGGTATGACCATGAGATTAACGCTAAAAGTTTTCATGCTTATCTCGCAGAGGCAAAGGTCAGAGGAACCGTAAATCTTTACGGCAGGAACAAAATAAAAGAATCGCAGTGTTTTATCTGTAATATGCGATTTCTTTGTGTTAATCAAGGTAATCAATTGGCAGTCAGTCTTGTTTATTCCTATGGATAACGAATATTTAAGAAAAGTAATTTGTGGATATTATATTCTTTAACCATTTACTTTTTATTAATTGTTATATAAGTATACTTATAGATTTTAATCACACGCCTGTGTGGTTTAAATTATTATAATATTATATGATTATTGTCCTCCCGAATTCCAATATGGGATTTTTCAGTATGGCCTTAGAATCACGCTGAAACATTTGAAGCTTGTGTCTCGTAGATAAGGGCCAAAGGAGCCGTAAATATTTACGGCAGGCACAAAAATAAACAAACGCTTATCGCAGTTTGAAATAAAGAATAAATTAAAATATGCAGTTTCTTTTAGCTCAGCTCATAGGCAGGCAACATTGTTATTGTCCTATGAGTAAAGGGTTATTTGAATAAAATATTAAAAATGTTTTTATGTATAGACCCATTGAGAATGAACTGTCACATTATATCTGCTCAAGAATTTAAAAAGCCGGAGGGGAGCAAGGGGGACCAGAAGCTGAGGAAGAGTTGGAAAATAATGGATTTCAGGAAGTAGTCGAGTTAAATAATATTGGTTATCTAAGTAACTTTTATAGTAATTGGCAAAATATTACAAAAAATCCTCTAGTTTTAGAATGGATTCAAGTTACAGACTTCCTATCCGTAAAACACTTTTACAAGGTGGTTTGGGTCGAAATCCCGTTACTCAATTTTCACATCAAGAATTCAGTAGACTATTGCTGATCTTTTTGATATTGTTGCTATATCTAAGTCTTACCTTGAGACAGATTAATTTATTTAGTTTTTTTTATAATTAAAAATCTATGGGTCGTTACAGTTTATATTAAATCTTAAAAGTTCACCTATTTGGTAGACCCGCCACACTTTATGTAAAAAAAAAGGATTATAGAAGTGTTGAAGTTTTTATTCATCAAAATACATTTTTATGCAAAATTGACTTAAAGAATGCTTAATATTCAGTGAAGATTGACGATTAATATAAAAAGTATCTTAAATTTGAATACAATGGGCAGCTGTTCTTTAATCGCTTACCATTTGGGCTCTCTATTGCACATTATATCTTAACCAACCTATTAGGACCAGTCTTTACGTACTTAAGAAATTTAGGTATTGTATGTGTGGGCTACCTAGATGATATTCTATTAATATCATCAAGTTATGAGTAAGACATTAAAAATGCTAATAAAGCTGTACAATTGCTGACGTCATTACGTTCCGTTATAAATTAAGAGAAAATATATTATTTCCCACACAGGAATTTAAATGTCTGGGTTTTCATTTTAATACTGTTACAATTAAAATGTCGTTACATTTCGAGAAAAAAAAAAGATTGTAATAATCTCTGATCAAATTCTTAATCGAAAGTCCTGTTATATTCGTGAAATGACAACTTATATTATTGGTGTGCCTAGTGGCAGCATGTCCTGCAACACAATATGGTTGGGCACCCGTAAAACTCTTAGAAAGGGCAAAATATTTAGCGCTATAAATAATTATAATAAAAGATTGAAATTCCTTTATCTATTAACAAGGAAATTTCGTGGTGGCTTAGTTGATTAATATCAATGAAATAAAATATCAATTAGAAATTTTATCGGATTCATCGAAGGATGGGTGGGTAGCCGTATGCAATTCTACACGTACGAGAGGATATTGGAACACTAATGCAAAAATTATCATAAAATATTTTGGAATTAAAGGCTGTATTTAACGCTCTTAAGTCTTTGCTTAAGTTATTGCTAAAGGTAGACAACACTACGTCAAGAGCGTATATACAGGTTGTTAATTTGTTTATTACTCGCGGCAAGAGCTTTATGGCTGAAATATGTCAACCTCGGGCCGCTCGTCGAGAGACGACGGACGCGACGGGACGAGTCGGCAGCTTTGCTCAGTACTCATTTGGAATTAGATGCAGTGTTGCCATTCTGTTCCCCAGTTAACAACCCATATATGTATAAAAATTTTAACAAGATTGCACAGGATATTTGGGAATATTGCGAGATTCGAAATATATGTTTTCGCATCCTATATCAGCAAAAATCATAATACAAGTCCAATCTAAGTCATAATCCAGAAGTCTTTAAATTCAGACTAAATATGAACTTTGAAAAAAAAAAAAAATATATAGTTTTGCTAAAGTATGTCATATTTTTAAGCCTCCAGAAACAGATTTATTTACTTCGAGACTTAATACAAAATAATACAAAATGTAATTTATATATCTCATGGAAACCGGACCATTCCATTGCAGTTGATGCCTTTCTTGTATCATTGGCAGATGGTTATTTTTATGCTTTTACTTGATCGTTATTTTTATGCTTATTACATTACAAAGTCATATACAAAAAAAAAAAAAAAAAAAATTCTTGACGCAACTAGCATTATAAAGCAAGTGGAATTCTAATAGTTCCTAGACGACACTAGAGTCAATTCTGGTATCTCTTGTTTCAAAGGTCTTTATTTTGTGTCCAACAAAAACTTATTGTTGTCTCCTTTCAGAAAACCTCACTTTCTGTACAAACAGCTTATCTGGGTTGCAGGGAGGTTATCAGAACATCTTTCCTCAAGAGATCCGTTCCTGATGTTGGTATAAAAGTCATTCTTGTCTCAATAAATGAAAGTACCCATCGACAGTACGAGTGTGTCTTTAGAATATGATGGAGTTACTGTGGTAATAATCTATTTGACTGTTTTTCATATAGTCTTCATAGTGATTTTTCGGGAATTTTTTAATCTAATATTAATACCTTGCCTTCAAGGAAGAAGATCAGTATATCATAAAAATATTTTTAAAAAAGGAATGTATAATGGCCATCCCCAAAACCTAAATAGGTACAATTTTACATGGGATCCACACTCGGTATTAATAAAAATAGCGGAATGGTACCCCTTAAACAATTATGTTTTAAGGTGGTAGTATTGTTGGCCTTAATATCCGGGCAAAGGTTACAGACCTTGACAAAAATCTATATTAAACATATTAATCAGACTAAAGATAATTTACAAGTTTTTGTAATAGAAAATATTAAAATATCGGGGAGACAAACCTCAACCAGTTTTAATGTTACCATTTGTTTAAGGAAAAGCCCGAACTCTGTTTAGCTTCTGTAATTATTGAATATTTAAAAGTAACTATATCGTTACGACCAGATAAAAAAAAAAAAAAAAAAAAAAAAAAAAAAAAAAATAATAAAAAAAATGCTGTCTCCAGTCAGACGATTGGTTATTGGATTAAGAATATTTTAGGTATCTGTAGAATAGGCACTAGTATTTTCTCTGCCTATTGGTGAAGACATGCATCCACATCTGTATCTTTTTAAGGGTAATGCGAATATTGAGTCCATAAGAAAAGCAGCAGGAGGACTGAACGGTCTAAAATGTTTTCTTTTATAATAAACCAATGTTGCCAAACATTTCCGACCTTACAAACAGTATGTTAGAAAGTTCAGGGATTATTTAAATAATTACTATTATACCAAAAATAGAAAATATGTGTTTTTTACTACATAGATTGTACCTTAATTTGTTATGTTATTATTACAAATGTGTTTACTATCTAGTCATATAGTACGTTTGTTTGTTATATCTTTATTATTATTATTGTTCTGTTATATTCTTATTATACTATCATCAATATTTATGTAGATTATTTGATATCATATTATTAGAAAATTCAAAGGATGTAAACTGTCCTTCGAATAAAATAAATATATCTTATTCTCAACATAGGGATTCTCAGTCTAGATTGCCATATTCTTTAAACATCTACAGGGTGTTTATAA